CTTTAAATTAGCTAACTATTGCTTACTTTTAACTATGTATTGATGTTGAAAAAGTATTTGGGCTAAAACTTCGCTTTACATTCAAACATGATTGACAATACAAAACATTAGGGAAACACTTTTGCGAGTGACACAAATTTCATTCTGTTACTGGCGTTGTTATGTGTTGGGTTTAGAGCGTACAATTTCAAGTCTTTACTTTACCAAAAGTGAACAACATTGAAATAATTTATATTTACTATACGGTGTCAGGTTATACCTGAGATGCCAATAATTCAAATGCTTAACTTTGATTTAAATGATTTTATACGTTGTAGTGTATAAATTTGGTTTTAAAAATGTACGTACTATTGTTTTACACGTGTTATAGTTACACAGTTATGTTAAACTTAGGTATATTGATGTATTTTGAACATATTCATGGAGTAGTTCGGCAAAAAACTGCTTACACTTTTTATTTCTTATTTTATTTTAAGTAATCAAACTTAATAATGTGCCGATAAATATAATCTACCACAGGTCTCAGAAAAAAAACAACTAAAATAATAGGACAGAAATTTTATAAACAGATTCCATTGAGCCGGGTTAAAATAAATCAAATATTTGAGCTACTAAATATTTTTATATGCAAATTAAATAAATACATTGGCGATTTAAAAACATTGAAATCAAGCTAATACATAGCAACATTTTGTTTGTTTTTTTAAATTAAAAAAATACAATTTGAAAAATAGTTTTAGTTTCAAGTTAATAATGATATTTTTTACATCGAGTGATTCAAAGATCAGGACTGTAAATCTGCTTTTGATCTTCAGTGTTAATAACTTTTTATGATCTCAATGTTGTGTTGAACATATTTCTCTACAAGTGTTGGGACTGCAACGTGCATTCTTTTCACAATTTAAGTTACGAAGTTCAGACACTATTAATATATTGTTTATAATGTGCTATTATCTCTATCTTCACTGTAATGTTTAGGAAATTTTTTGTTTGCTATTAACACGACAACTGCAATTAATGTTTAGTCGAATTGTTAAAATGGTAACCAAGATTTTAATAATCCACACGACATTATAAAAAAAATATTTAGAACTTTTAAATAAATTAATCAATACCATTTATGAACATCACTCAGAAGTTACTTAATTTACTGTTAGAACCTGTATGATTCTATTATATGTGTTTTTTATATTCAATATAATCATGCAAATACAACTATAACCATAAACGAAAACACAGTGAGTTGTTGAATTTATCTCTTATTACATGTTATTATATCATTTCAAAATTAACCTTAATAGGTATTTTTACATATCATAAACCAGAAATTATATACAATTTGTAAATACCTATAGCCGATAAAGTGGGACAGAGGAACAGAAATATAAATATATATATATATATATATATATATATATATTAAACATCTATAAAATGTACATATAATTAATATTCATTAGATCAGAATGCATCACTGGCTGGAAGTGGTTTGGAATTATTATAATAGTACCCAACAGTTTTGTTACAAACACGTAACACTGTAACAAATAACATGAGTCAGTACTCAACTTGTTTCATCAGCATAAATTCACCAACAATATATTTCAAACAATATTTTTTTCCATTATGAATAAACATTAAAGGTTGCATTTACAATGTTAATTGTAAAAAGTTCAATTTAATATAAAGTTTTTTGTTGATAGTTTTGTGTTAAATCAAATGTGCAAGGCACCTTGGGAATTAGGCTTGGCTAAAATAAAAATAAAATAAAGTTTGGTTTCTTTGGGAAAGTAATTTGCCTGACTAGTGAGTAGCCATGTGAAAGAGAACAGAGTTTCAAGTCCTTGACAGATCTAATACTGATTGACGTTGCTACTTGGGGGTTGGGGTGTAGAGTGATCGAACATAATAGGACTATGGGGGTATTTATTTGACATATGCATGCAGTATGAAGAAGTCTCTTTGTAAACCAGACATTGAACCAGGTATTGACAGAGATGCAGAAGTTATATTTCTCAAATATTCAACAGTAGCGTTCAAGGGTATACAAACATAAAACTTTAAAAATAAAAAAATAAAAATATATTTGTGTAAGAATTTTCAACATTTGTAATTACTAATCACAACATATTTATAAACCGGGATGATTGTAAAATTACCGTAAATGTTTGTAACATATTTGTAAAAAAATCTGAAAAAAAAATTGCGTTTTAGACTTTCTTTTAAAATTTCAAGAGCAATCGAAATATCCATTTCTACTAATTTCATTGTTTGATTTTTAGGTTCAAATTGAATAAATATTTTGAGTTTACTCTGCTTTAAAAATATAACTCTACCTCTATTGATACAGTGTAGATTTAATAAAAAGACAATAATTAAAAGAAATTAAAAATGATTAAATGAGCGTGGTTATTAAGAGTATTACAATAGAAAAAAAGTAATACTGCTATACCTGATTTACAAAACTAGCAGACAGTAGGAATTAAAAAAGCACGGCTACCCGATCTTAGAGTATTCTTAATGTAATACTCTTTTCAGCATAATTATTTTGTAAAATGTAAAAAAATTGTAATAAAATGTATGTTAGTATGTACATATTTTCAATAAGTATTAACATAAATTATCTTTACTAAACTATACATATTTATATTTTTTACATAAGCTTTAGTTATTATGGCATACTTACTAAGAAAAGCAGTAAATAATTATAATAACTTAATCTTCCTTCTAAAGATTAGCCTTTTTAAAACAACTAATTGATGTAAATAACTGATCGCTAGCTAATATACTAAAAACTTGTGTTTATACGATATTATCTCCTTTTAAACAAATTATATAATGTTTATTTAAATGTTGTTAATCGTAGTTAACGACGAATAGTTTCAGATAATATTATAATTATAAAAAAACAACATGTATACAACAATGTTATAAAATTAAATGGATAATAGTTTTAAAAGATTTTTGAATGACTATTAGAATTATGGTTAAAGGCAATGCATGAGCCTATGACAATTCAAATAAGAAGGAGGAAGTGCCGCTGGGTGGGACACACAATGCAAAAGGCTCACCCAAATGTTACACGCCAAGCGCTTGAGTGGAACCCACGGAAAGCGGAAGAGAAGGCGCCCAAGATAGATCTGGAGGCGGAGTCTTCTCGAAGAACTGAAGCCAACAGGGATGTCTTGGGAGACGGCAAAATTAATAGCCGGGGATAGGACGGAATGGAAGGAAATGGCTGAGGCCCTATGTTCAACGAGGAGCATAGAGGACTGAGATTAAGAAGATAAGATGACGATGATTAGTTTGATATTGAAAATAAGATTCTTTTTGGTATTAACATTTCACACACATACAGTTACATTTTTAGATACATTCATCACATCAAACACGGAATCAACCAGATAATAATTCTTAACATTATCAAAACATTTTAAATATCTAACACAAAAAATAAAAATCTTAAATATATCACATTTTGATTTGATTTCTTAAAGTAAAATAAAAATAAAATTTCAGGTATTAGTTTACAGCCCATCAATTTTAAATCATAAATTATAACAACCTAAAGTCTTTTTAATCATGTCAATATTAAACCTTTTTAAATATGCCTCTAATTATGTCTTTTAACTATGTGGAGTTAAAGGTGAAATTATATGATTATTATAACATTCATTTAGAAACGTTAAATTGTTTTGAAAAAAAAAGATTGCACAGTTAACATTAGAAATTAATTCTGATAAATTTGACCAGTGTATTAAAATATTGCTATGAACCAGAAGTTGAAAAACAAAAAAAAAACACAAAACAATAAAGACTAAGAGCATTGTTTAAAAAATGAGATTGCAAATAAAATGAAATTGCTATTCAATGCATTGTAAATAATACAAATTAAAGCTTTATATATGTGGCGCTATAAAATGACTAAATTCAGTACACATATGAAACATTTTTGTTAGCACATCTATTAAAATACACCAAATAACATAATGTTAATACTTCTTTTTGAAAGAAGATTCCTCCAACGTATCTTCAGAATAAAGTGGAAGAACAAATTCCGAACAAGGAAATACGACGAAGAACAGGTTAAAACGACATTGTTTCAGAGGTTTGAATGAGGAGATGGAGATGGAGAAGACTCCCCAACATGTCGCTGAAATGCCTGGAAAGCGAAAGACCACTGGGAACATGAAGGAGAGAGATGGAAGAAGAAGTGCAGGGTACTGGCAAGACCTGGCATGAATTATAGTGGCTCGCCCAAGACAGAGTGGAATGGCGGAGATTTGTTGCTGCCCTATACTTCACAGGGAGTAAGTAAGTAAGTAAAAAAACTTAACTTAACTTTGCTAATTAAAACGTAAAACAATATTAAAATTTTCCCAGTTCTAATTTAAATAATGTTTCGTCTGATTCTTTAATTTAAATATTAATATTAAAGTTAAATACAATTAAGTGCAATAACAGAATAGGTATCTAGATGATCTGTATTTTTAACATCTAAACTACGTCTTACCAAATGGCTTTTAAAAAATTAGAGAATTATCAGTACATTGCATAGGTTTTTAATAAATGCAGTTAACCTTTATTAATTCATCTATTTTTTTAATTATATTATGCTGTTTCTTTAGTACATTTAAAGTGTTTCGTGCAGTTAAATTTAATGAAAATATAGAAATACATAAAGTAAGACTTGCACTTAATTATATACATATATCGATTACATAAAAAAAAATTCAATTGATATTTTGGAATCTTATCTGTATAAGGCTACAAAATTAGTTACACTATTTTCATTCTGTTACATATTTATACACAACATATTTTATAGCGCACACATTTATGGTTATATTTCATCATATTTTAAATTACAAGCTAACTTTCATACTAGTAGCAGTCCTTATTATACTTAAATTATATATATAGATTAAAAAATAAATTTTATATATATATATATATATATATATATATATATATATATATATATATATATATATATATATATATATATATATATATATGGAATGCTTTTTATTTTCTTCTGTTAAAGTTTGTCAGTCCCTCTCCAGACTGGTTTCTTCTGTACCATATTCATCTGCAAACAAAGTTCATCATACATATTAGAAACCGACAGCAAGCATTTGTTGTTTTGTCGTTAGAAATACATATCCCGTAATTTAATTTATAACGAAGGCCGTTATAATATTTCGCTTATTATTTACCTTCTAGTGGAGCGCGAACACCCCCAGGATAACCAAAGTAATCCGTATCAAACTGACAACCTGCTTCTGAATCTTCAGCATTTTGACATAAAAAACAGCGAAATAAATAAAACAAATTTAGTCTTTTTTTATTTTTTAATATTGTTAAAACTGCTTAGCACATTTCAAAAACTGTATTAAATTTCAAAGGAAATCTTCAGGTAAATGTATAAGGTATATTCAAATTTAACAAGCTATGTTTAATTTAAATTTTAACCCTTTGAACCATTGACTATTTACCCAATAATCCCCTTTCTCCGGGCTCTTGAAGTACACAAAACACACTCTATATAATGTTGATATGATAAAAATTGGATAACTTACAGTCTAACGGAGCTCCACCAACAGCCTCGGAGAGACCGTTGTAATCTGCAGGACATGGGTTTTCTATGACTGGATCTTCAGATCTTGCACTACCTGCATCTGAGCGAATATATATATATATATATATATATATATATATATATATATATATATATATATATATATATATATATATATATATATATAATTACACAATTTCAAAAGATAGATTACATTTAATTTTATTCATATTACTTTCTAGTTGTTCTAAAATGAAAATGTAGTCAGTGGGTTGAGACTGTTCAGATGTATGCCCAGCGTCCTTGTTCAGCCTGTTGAAATATATTAGTCCATAGCAAAATGCCAAAGACTTTTGTAACAATGCATCTTTAGGGATATTGCAATGAAAATAGAATAGTTACTGTACACATTACATTATATATATATATATATATATATATATATATATATATATATATATATATATATATATATATATATATATATATATATATATATATATATATATATATATATATATAATTATTTCTTATAAAAAAATCGTTTCTATTTGCTTCTTTCTCTAGCTATTACTTATTAAATTTTAACAGATTATATATAATATATATATATATATATATATATATATATATATATATATATATATATATATATATATATATATATATATATATATATATATGTATGTATATTAAAAAAGAAAGTTTAAAATTCGCAGCACTATTGAAGAAATACTAATTAGAAATAATAATTTTGAAACTTGCACTAATTTTGCTTTAAATGACCAATTGAATTTTAACATACTCATTGCCAGTATTTTGTTTGGCTGTTGATTTTAGCTTGATGTGAAGATCAACCGCATTAATCTGATTATTGGCGTGATCTATTTCTGGCGTAAACTCCAATCTGCTTCTCCTTAACACGGCTCTAATTGAATTCATAATACATTAAGTTATTTGTTTACAGAGGAAAAAAATAGATATTATCATGATCTTGAAAAAGCCTAATTAATGCATGCAATTCAACTTAATGTAAATTATATAAAAAATTTATATAATTGCTGAGGATAATTTTTATACACAGAAGGTGAAGGAATTAGTGTAAAAATAAAGGTGTCCTTCCAAACCTGACGGTCTACAGTGCATGTGAAGTAAAGTAATGGAATAAGTGAACTATCCTACAATGTTTCGTATCAATGGGTTGACCCTTATTTATATGACGGTGGTTAACCTACACTCAAGGCATTCAAACAGAACGTCTAGAATACCACGCTTGGTAACGCGTTGATGAAATCCTCTTAAAATATTAATTCAGCCTTTCTTCTTAGAGCACAACAACGCGCAGGACGGGTTTGCAAGCCTGTAATGAATATTTCAAATGAAGTTTATTCTGAAAGAAGTATTTATAGCTTACCTGTCAACATCACCGTATTCTGTGTGGTAGAAATGTACAGGCATTGCCTGTTGTACTCTAGGCCGGCTATGAATAAAAAATTAAATTTAAATTTTATTTTTAAAATGACAAAAAAAAAGTTTTATTTCAATGGGACTTAACTTGGGATCTATCATTACAATGACCAGGCACATACAATAACCACCAACCACTAACCAACTAACCAACTAACCACCAACCACCACCATCTAAACACAAACCACCAACCACAAAAAATAACAACCAACAACCAACCACAACCACCAATCACGAACCAATAACCACCAACTATTATTATAATGACAACATCAACTTAAATGAATGTCTACTGCTAATAAATCATGTAATCTGATTATACAATATGATCTATACAACAACAAGGCACACAAAAATATTACTTAGAATACAATGGAGTAAATAAAGATTGTGTTGAAATCGCATGGACAGCTCGACTCCAGGGATCAATTGTGAGGGGGCAGGTTTCGTCATGCCAAGGGCTATTCTGTTGTAGTGAGTACAACGGCAAGGAATGGAGGCATCTGGGAGTAGAATGTATTATTAACTCATACATCTACTGTACAAATATAAAATTATATATATATATATATATATATATATATATATATATATATATATATATATATATATATATATATATATATATATATATATATATATATATATATATATATAGCTACGCATATGTCTATATATAAATATATCTCCGCACATAGTTTAAATTACATTTACTAAAAACTGTGGTTCGCTGATTTATAAATGAACATTGATATCTGCTGAATTGAGCTACAATTTCAAACAGTTTAGAATGAAGACAATTTCTAATGTACCTGTAACACACGCATTCATCCTTATCCGTATCGAAATATAAACCATCTTCTGCCAGACGAAGGCAACTAACTTGTGGTCTCCTCCACATAAACAAAGGACTGTTAAAGGTTTGGACTCTTCTTTCATGGCTTGAAAACTCTATGATAGCTGGGTAGGCTAGAAAATCTGAAATCCATATGTTCTGCTGAAGAAAATTTGGAGAAAGGACTTGGCTAGTGTCCTTTGAAGAGGCAGGTATTTTCAGACGGTGATTTCTTTTTCGCCAGTGCGTACGCATTATATACAAAAACACCTGCACTACTACTGAGAATTTGATCATTTTTATTCAAGCTGAAAATAAAGAGACCAATTTTATTATAATTAAATCGACAATTTTTAAATTAAATACATTTGTTTTACAGAAAAAAAATGTGACTGTTACTAAAAATTTGACTTAACAATTTCTTTTTGACATAATTACCTCTATTTATCACATATAACATAATAAGTCACCCCCCTTACCAAGTTTTGATATGAATTGAAAAATATTTCATGTTATCATGTAATTTTTGTCTGTAATAATGACAAGAAAGTGATTAATACTAGCCTTTTTTTCTCGTATACGGAGTACAGAGGAACTATTTTAATCGGGCAAAAAATTAGCTTTAGACATCACTGAGTCGGAAATACTTAATTTTGCAATTTTGTCTGTATGTCTGTGTGTGTATGTGTGTCTGTGTGTCTGCAAACACGATAACTTAAGTTCTGTTACAGCTGGTTGACGAAATTTCATATATAAGTATTACATTTGTAATTGTGTTCCAACTTTTCAGCGATTTCTGATAATCGAAAGTTAAATATATTCTACTTTTGGTTTTTCAAAAGCCTATAACTTAAGCACTATTTTAGATAGAAGAACGAAATTGCACAAATATAAAGAAGACCGAATTCTGTGTTTTATGATACATTTTGAGTAATTTCCGGTGACTTTACACTATTTTCGATTTCTCAAAAACATTTATGATTTTATTTTTAACTTAATTTCTCTGTCTATCTTTATAAAGCACAATTGTTCCGCACTATTATATACATATTATTTGCTGTTCATTTGGTGCGCTATTTTTTTTTCTTCGAGATTCTATTTTATTGAAAAAAATTAGGAATTTGAAAATTGATTTAAAAAAACAAAACAACTGTAAATATCCCGACTGCACTAGAGTTTTCCTCATTAGTGTTATCTATGAATATACAAGAAGGTTTAAGGGAGGTCACTCCCGCTTTATTTTTGTCAGCTTCTCATACTTGGATTATGTTTACTGGTAAATCATCTATTCTAATTTTAAAGGTAATTTTTAATAAATACCAAACTATTAAATACGAAAAATAATCTAAACGGTAATTTAGTATCTTGGGACTAAGCCTGTTATATTATTGATATAGAAACAGTTTGTATTCGTTGAAATAACAGATTAACATGCCATTTGCAGTTTTTATTTAGTCGATTTTCAACACAAGTTACACCAGTGAACCAATTTCTAACATAAACTTTATTCGCTTTTACTTCTGCCTTGATAATTGCAATCGTCATGATGGCTTTATAATTCTCTTTTATTACAACTAATATACTTCCATTAAATAAAAATACTATATACTAAAGCAATTTTTTATTTAAAATATTTTACGAAACAGCCCCCTCTTACTTTTAAGACCTTTTTCATTTTAACACACAATTATTTGTCGTCTTAGCTTACCCATCCCGTATACAACTTTTCCTCAAAAACATAACTTCGCCTACTCTGGTTTTAATTTGTGGAACAATCTCAATAATAAAATAAAATTATCTATATCTAAAAATATATTCAAATCTAAACTAAAACAACAACTATTTAATGGCTTTAACTGACTCGTTGCAACATTTTTCATTCATCTATTTATATAATATTCTCATTCTATCCAGTGGCGGAACTAGAAAAAAGGGGCCACCCCGCAAAAAATTTTTTTAAGCCCCCCCCCCCCCCATATAAATATATAGGCATATATATATATATATATATATATATATATATATATATATATATATATATATATATATATATATATATATATATATACTCAAACACAAAATACGATCATAGGATACTTATTGCTAGCCTGTTCGTGTTTTGAGAAATACATGTGTTTTTTTTTTAAACAAAAGAATATTAAACATGAAAGCTTTCTGTAAATAATGGTGTCTCGTGTCATGTTTATTTTTATGTTTTTTTGTATTTATTTTATAAATTTTAAATACATTTTCTTTTTATACAATGTCATTCTTTAGTAAATAATTTATAAACAAATAATAATAAAGAGAAGTAATTGCTTTTTAATTTGTTTAGTACAAATCTATTAAAAAGAGGATTATGGGCATCACTATTTGACTATTTAAAAAAGGGAAATAAGTCATGAAAGTGGTTTGAACGTTTGCTTATCTTTTATAAGATTGATTGTAGGAGAAAGAGGACTCGGCTTTCACATTGGTTTAAAAACGAAGGAAAAATGACCAAGGGGTGGTGTCTATAGAATAAAGATAATCCAACCGCAGCTACGGTAATCTTTTTTACAAAACAAACATTAAGTCAAAAATGCAAGAAATTTTTTGTTAAACTATAACAATTTTTTTTATGGTCGGCCGTGGGCCCCTAAATGGCGTGGGCCCCCCCGCATTGCGGGGTCTGGCGGCACTGTAGTTCCGCCCCTGATTCTATCTTATTTTGTATTATAACTATGTAATATTATTTCATTCCAAATATTTGAATGCTATGTTACTGCTATGTGTTTACTACATCATTGCTATTTATTGCAACGCTGTTATTTTGTTATTTTATTTTTTAAAATATTTTTATAAGCTAATGTGAAAAAAAGGATTCCGTGCCAACTGTTGTCACCGTATAAATTGAATTGCAAATTTTAAAACACCCTTAATGTTGATTAGGGATTCGCTATGCATTACCATACCATTAAGAAAGAACAATTTTAATGTTTGTTTGGTAATGATCAAAGTAAAGATTTGTGTAATGATTACAAATAATACCAGGCAGGGGCGTAGCGAGGGGGGGGGGGGGGGCTGGGGGTGCGGACCGCACCGGGTGACACCATTTAGGGGGGTGACACCAAGGCAAAAAATAGCAAAATATATAGAGAAAAACTCGAGGGGGGGTGCAAATCGAAAGTTTGAGGGGGGGGGGGTGCAAATCGAAAGTTTGAGGGGGGGGGGGTGCAAATCGAAAATATGAAAGTTTGTCCCTGGTAAGGGTCTCTATGCCTCTGGGAGGGTGACACCATTAAGTGCCGCACCGGGTGACACCCGACCTCGCTACGCCACTGATACTAGGGTAAAGATTATAGAGCGGATCAGGTTTATAGTTATGATTTGGGTCAGTATAACATTACACCGTAGTAACCGAGGCTCAACATCACCGGTCTGTGTGATTACTATAACTAAACAATCTTAATAGACATTTTTTCTATCTACTAATTAAGCATTCACCATCATCTTTTCCCGTTCGTGCCCAAGACACATTGGGAAGATGAAGTAGAGTTTATCAGTTTTCAAGACCTCGACATATTAAGGGATTGTGTGGTCACATCTATGCCCAGTTGCTTTTTTTTTTCTTAACATGAGTTGGGTACCTATCAGAGCTGGATGGACTCAGGGACATTCTACTGACTTGAACCCCGATTCGAAAATCTAAGGATTACACGTACTTAATGTTGTCAGGTGCTTATAACTCGCATGTACAAATATACACGCATAAATGTATATTTAAAGCTAAGTGGTCAGCTGCTGGCTAGGGCACTCGTCGGTACCGCAAACGTTATAATTTAGGCAGGCTTTCTCGTCATACAAATAGAACTCAGGGGCAAATCCGATCTGCCAAATAGTGCACAACTGAGTGAAAACAGACCGCGACTGACCAGTACCTTATACAAAGTATTTCTCGAAGTAAATTCTTCTTTGATAACCCCCGCCCACTGATAAAAAATATTATGAGGTTGTAGACTAATGCCCGTGGGTGCTAGAATAAACATGTCAGTTATGTGAAAAATATTTAAAAAATTTAAAGCTGATCTGAGGCTATATAAATATTATATATTTTTGTAAAAAAAAAAGGGTTTTGAATTTTAAAAAGAAATTGCTCCATTAGTATTGGTCGAAACTTCACTCGACAGTTTGGCCCCACTAAGACAAAAGCAAGCACGACAGACATACAGAAAAGCAAGTTAAATAAAAGCTTGTAAAAACAACGGAAATATCCAAACTTTGGAAATTTCCGAAATGATTTTCTAGGACGAGCGCTTCAGTTAAAACACGTAGGCCTATATGGTTATGACTATTTTTTGTACGTGTTCTATAGTATGAGTGTTTAAAAAATCTAAATATTACCACGGTTCAAAATAAAACGTGTATGGTTTTGAATATAATATAAGAATTCATCCGGTTATTAAAAAACAACAACAAATCAAAAAGAAAAAGAAAAAACAAAACAAAACAATACAATACAATACAAACAATAACTCATTGTGATCCAACAAACTACTTGCTTGTAACTTTTAAAGATTAGATCTAAGCAGTGGCGTAGCGAGGTCGGGTGTCACCCGGTGCGGGACTTAATGGTGTCACCCCCCCAGAGGCATAGAGACCCTTCCCAGGGACAAGGTTTAAAATTTTCGATTTGCACCCCCCCCCCCTCAAACTTTCGATTTGCACCCCCCCCCTCAAGTTTTCGATTTGCGCCCCCCTCAAACTTTCGATTTGCACCCCCCCCTCGAGTTTTTTTCTATATATTTTGCTATTTTTTGCCTTGGTGTCACCCCCCTAAATGGTGTCACCCGGTGCGGTCCGCACCCCCCGCCCCCCCTCGCTACGCCCCTGGATCTAAGTGCCTGTATTAAGGGAAGAACAAAACCGTTTACATATTAAATATCTTAATTTTAGTAGGTTTTTTAAAAAAATATTCAAATTGGAGAAAAAGCGCCCACACCCATTCGGAAAGGTTAGAGATGCCACTTTTATTAAGACGTCACACAATTGATGTAGAAACCAGTTAAGCTCATTTGGAAAGTAAAGCTGTAATCTATTATCTTAACTTTGAATATGGATAATTCAGTAATGCAGCTTAGAATGAACTTTCTACTCCGTTTGTCGCTCCTTCTTGTCGGATCCCTGGGCGGCGCCTCACACGCCCATAATAAAATTAATTTGGGTTAGCTTATACGTTTATTTATTGATTGATTTCGACATTGAACCAAATAATCTAAAGTAGTTGTAGAGTTAAAATTTTTATTAGTGGTGGGTTGGTGCTGGCTCGTGGCGAGCATTTTCGTTGACTTTATCTGCTGACAGAACATTATCCAACGGAAATCCGGGTGGTCTAGCTTAATATAATTATTCCCTTTAAATAATTTAATTCTTTATTCATTGTCCATAAAGTTAAACAAGTTGGCTTTCGCGACAAAGATGTTACAGTACATTAAAATTCGTTTAATAATTAAAGCAGCTTTGAATATTTCAGTGTTCTAAACATTAAAGCTTTTGACAATACTTGTGGGGTGAAATCATTCATCTGAGAAAATAAACCACTACATGACTGTTTTTAGAATTAAATCGTGAATATTGCACAAACTTTAATTTTTGTGAAAGGCCGTAAATTTACAAATGTGTGTAACAAGTGTTAAAGTGGCCATTTTAAATCTGAAATCGACAACGATATATTTAGTTCAATAAAAAATGGCGTCCTGTTAAGTCCTCTAGAATTACTTTGAAAATAAATAAAAACTAAGGAACGAGTATATCTACTAAGCGAGACTTTTAAACCGTTACATTCTATTCAACCATGTCTCACATCATTATATAAGAAATAAAAGATGTATATTGATACACGGATGATATATTTGTTTTTTTACTACAACATTGCAAGTAGGTGTACTATTTTGGTACTAACACAGCTGTAATTGATATACATCTGTAAATAGAAAACCTTTTGATACGCATAAAAAAGACTAGCGATGTCTCAAGTAATAATTTTGCTAAATAAAGATTATAATGAAACTTCTATTACAAATAGATTACAAAAGATAAAATTTACGTTTGATTAAAACATCAGGATAAAATCATCATAATAACATAGATGGTCCCGAAACTATAAATAGACATGGAATTTCCAAGCGTAATTTCCGATATGACTATGATAAAATATTTAAATTTGTGTAAGTTCGAAAGTTGAAGGGTAAAAAAAAAAACAATATTTCATTAATTATTTTATCAATTATTCTAAAATAAAAATTGCTTACAGTTGATTTAACAATTTATGTTTGTTTTGTTTACGGATGCATTTTTAAACTATGTGATATGCATACATGCAGGCTGGCTGGTATGTTCGTTTATTGCACTCAAATGAACGTACACGTTACAAAAAAAAAAGACACGCTTACTTGAATTATATATATATATATATATATATATATATATATATATATATATATATATATATATATATATATATATATATATATATATATAAAAGCTATAATCACTGCAGACGTAATAGTAACGATGTCTATCTTTAGTCTGCTAATAATACAGTTGGATGTAGCATTGTTTTCTCTAAAGTTAGCGCGTTTACGTCATGGTGTCACACCTCCCCTTGTAATAATTGACGATTTGTACTTTAAAGACTATTTAACTGTAATTAATCATTAATGGAACTGGCAAAAACATTTTTCTTCTGTACATTTTGCAATCTTTTTGCCTTGGTGTCACCCCTCAAAATGGTGTCACCCGGTGCGGTCCGCGACCCCCGCCCCTCCATCGCTGCGCCTCTGTATATATATGAGTGAATAGATTTGTGTTAAAGAGTACAATGTAGGTATTCAGTGTAATAAAACAAATATCTTTGTTACATGATGATAACACTACTGTTTATTTATTCAGACCTTATTTATATAAATATTACAAAACATTACATGTATAGACATTGCAATTTAAAAATTATTGACACAAAAGTCGTTTTACAAAGCGAAATAAGATTAAAATATTATAAATTATTTATCATAAATTTATAAATTATTTATACATTTGATTTCCTTCCTTGTGTAAGGCAGAGATTTACTTGAGCGATCATTTACGAAAACGCTGTAACAAATATTTTAATTGTTAAATAAGTTAAATATTGTTCTACACAATTCGTATGTTATGTGTACAAACATGGACACAAGATTTATACAATAGTAAATGTGAGTTATCGTGCACATATTATATAACATAATATGTGTATCCACCTTTTACACCGTACACAACAGTATGACAAAATGATATAGCCCACTATCTGTTATATAAGATATAACATTGCTCGGATCACTTACTAAGACCACCCCCCTAGATAATACAACTTGGTGCTTACATTTTTTAGCGATTGCAAAGCATAATTTTAATGTGTTTACTAGAGTCTACCCTCACTGTGTCTACTTATTTCTTCAATCCTTCTCCGCACAGAAATGTAGAGGAAATAATAATAACTACAATCAGTGGCGTAGCGAGGTCGGGTGTCACCTGGTGCGGCAGCTGATGGTGTCACCCCCCCCCCCCCGTAAGAAAAAAAATATATCGATATATATATATATATATATATATATATATATATATATATATATATATATATATATATATATATATATATATATATATATATATATATGTATATATATATATATACTTGTAAGTATGTGTGTACGCATTTGTATAATTATTTTTAAAAATTTCTGCTGAATGTATTTAATTCCCCCCCCCTTTACATGGTTTAACATATAGCTTATTACGATTCTCAACCAAACAGTTTTTCTCAGCCATATATATTGCAACGTTGAGTTGATGTAAATCTCCCCATCCCCCTTGTCACCCATACGGTGATTGCTTTAAACTGTGCTCAGACAATACTAACGATTTGTATCTATATTAGGTTATAATTTCAGCTGGAAGTTGCATGTTTTCTATATCATTAGCAAGTTTACGTCATGGTGTGACCCCCCCCCCCCCCCACCCCACACCCGCGTAGGGATTTGTCCACTTTGCTCTTAAAAGACTATTTAATTCACTCTAATTAATTATTTAATTAAGTGAAATTATCATTTTTCTGTTTATATTTTGCTTATTTTTGCCTTGGTGTCACCCCCCTAAATTGTGTCATCCGGTGCGGTCCGTACCCGCCGCCCCCCCCCCCATCCCCACGCTACGCCACTGACTACAATCTATTGCAGTACTTTATCGATCTTGAATTCAAACCCTCACCCATACCAGGATGCACAAAATAACAATGATAAAACATGCGTCTATCTCAATTGTATTGCGATGCCAAATATCGCTTTATGCTAAGGAAAGCTCATGGATACGTATGTGCGGTATGACCACACACAGAGGCGTAGCGACGGGGGATGGGGGGGGGTACATATGTCCCAGGGCGCCAAAAAAGCTCATTTTAGCTGCAGTTTTGAATTATAAATATAAAAAATATATGGGGGGGGGGGCGCCAAATTGAAAGTTTGTCCCCGGGCGCCGGGAGGGGTCGCTACGCCTCTGATCACACAGTTGAGTAGTTTGTTAAACATTTATAATCATACATGTTATATTTTTAAATTTTACATCTGTTAATCAGCGGTTCACATGACATACAATAAAACATTTTTGGGTACATTTTTAAAATTCATTTTATATTTTACAAAACACAAAAACCACTGTATCATTTCTTAAATAATCCACAATGCAACTTTAAGTCTCGTTGTGAAAGGAAACGTGCCAAAAAAGATTATACTTTTTTTCTCCTAGAAAAATATGATACTAGTTATTAAATATCAATTAAAGTAGCTGGAGTCCTGATTTTTCACTTTGAAGATTCGCTGGTTCTAATCCGTCCTTACAGATGATTACATTTTTAAATGCTTACATTCATAGGAAACCAAATGAAATCCCCTACAAAGGGAAACAACCATAATTAATAATATACATGCAGCATTATTTCCCTTATATATACCTTTTCATCTATATCGGTTTAAATTAATTTAGACATTTTGTTTGCGGCAAAGATGGTGAAAACTACTGTTTAATAGATTTTCCTGATGTAACACAAACATCTATGATAAATCTAGCAGAAAGGATGAAGTCGAAGTCAACTGACCAGATGAGGCATTACATGTTGACACGCTATTGTATGTGTTGGAGGAAATCCATTCCAATACCACAGCCGTGGAGGAAAAAAAGTGAAGGAGCACGAATTATGTCGTTAACTGCAATTAATACTGACAGAAAAAACAAAACAAAATTCATCGGTTTATTAGATAGCTCCCTAAGATTAATATTACCACAAGTGTAAATAAATAATATTTCTCTTATTACTAGAGGAATGTTGTCAAATTAAACCTGACTGTAGAACTGGATAGTATCACATTGGATTTACATTTTCAAGCTCGGGTGTATTACAATAGCTAGACGAAACCACGTTAAATAAGATCTCAGTATAATGTTACAATGAGACCAACAAAGAGTCAATTTCTCAATTCAAGTCATAATGATATAAAAACTATTGGTGAATTTCTGGCCAATAACACTGCGACCCCCATATGATAAGTAACTCTTTAGTCATCAATTAAAAATGTAATTCAATGTACTAATATTTAACTCGTGTTATATTATAGTCCAAACCCATTGTTCAATGAGAATATATTTAGGTAAAATGTTTGACAACATTGTAAATATTGAAGGGTATGATACAATTTTTTTTTTTTAAATATTCAGACAACTTAAAGAACAATTAAAATAAATACAACGTTTAAAATACAACACGATAATAACTTACAAAAGTTCAAGAAATAAAGACAAATTTCAACTTTTAGCAAAATTTTATAGTTCAAACTAAATCTACTATAGTAAAACGTTGCAAATATCATCTTTTGGACCTTGAAGCTGACAGTATTTTTCATAAAAAAATTATTGCTTTATAAATTGAGAACATATTATTTACACTATGTTTTGACTAAAGCAAATCATAATTAAAACAAAAATGAGAATACGAAAACTCTAGGTATGCTTTTAGCAAATTTAGCAAGAGTTGTGTAGATTATTTAACACATTCTAATTTTTCTAGTTTTATTTCATTTCTTTCAACAAAATGGTGTGTCCTAGTATCAAACACTTTTGTGGAATGTTTTTGTCGAATGAAAATGAATGCTTAATACAAGTAAAGGTTACATATAAGGTAAAATAAAAGAGAGCATTATTTATTTTCATTACATCGGCGTATAAAGAAACCAATTGCTACTGTATGAAATAAACGAAAACAACTAACAATTATCAGATGGATAATTCAAAATATGAATACACATGAAAGTATAATTAAACCCAATCACTTTTATTCGGTAATATCTAATTTGACGGCTACTTGATATCACTAAAGCTTTTATTAATATAATCCTATTTGATTAAACTGAAATCCTTGTATGATTTAAATGTCATGACAAAAAAGCTGTATAAATGATAAGACTAAAAACCGAAGACTATATTTTATTTAATTATAAGTTATGAATGCTTACCATCTACTATAATTTCTGGGTAAGTAATTGCTTGATTACGATAAATAATGAAGGACGCTCGCATTGTTTAGACTAATTGTTACTGCTGTCGTTTGTTTAATCTTAGTAGACAGACATAGTTAAGAAAATGATAAAATCGATACTGTCTAGCTACAAAAATATCTGAAGTAAAATCACGAAATGTAGGTCGTTGAACATCTCATGTTGTTTATATTGGGTATATTGCGATCCGTAGTTTTAATAGAAAAAAATTAAGCAGAATCAAATGTGTTGAACAATAAACCGTTATAAAACTCAGTTTTATTTACCAAATGTATTAGGTTAACAAAAATATAATAATATTTATTTGTACAATATATCAATGTGAAACAATATGAGGTAACTTTAATATATATTTTAAGATAACAAGAAAAGTACGCTTAAATAGCTGCAATTTCAACATTTTCAAAAATTTATCAAAGAAGTAAGTGTTAAACCACACAAATTTTGAAACAGGAATTTTAAAAACTAGAATTGTTATAGAAGTACCCTGCTCAGGTAATTATATTTGATT